CTGTGTGTTGAGTTATTTTGAGGGGACAGCAAATTTACACTGTTATACAAGCTGTACACTCACTACTTTACATTATAGCAAAGTGTCATTTCTTCAGTGTTGTCACATGAAAAGATATAATAAAATATTTACAAAAATGTGAGTGGTGTACTCACTTCTGTGGGATACTGTATATATATAAACGTATAAAACGACTTCGTATTTTCAATTAATTCTGGGTGCATTTCATTGTCAGCACGTAGTGCATTTTGCTTTGTTGTAGTGCACCTGATGGATCAAACATTGAACACACTTTGCAGGTTTATGATAATATTTTAAGCAGTTTCTGAAACAGAACTTTTTTTGTCAGACCTTGACCTTTCCAATATGCAAAATCATGGTAATCATCAATTACATCATCTCCGTACCCCATATCTATAGCATAGTCTTCTCAGTAGAATTTTAAAGTTCTGTTTTTGGCCACTGGGGGGCACCAACATACAGCATCCCTCTATAGACAAATGAACCTAATTTACTTTGCTTATTAGAGCGCTTATTCACAGCAGCACAGAGCCATCTTTCGGCATCCAACATCTCAAATACACTTAAATGTCAACACGCCTTAAATTTGGTCATGGTGCTGAAGTGATTGTTCCTGAAGAAGACACACAGTTCTCCCTCTTGTACAGTAGAAGTGAGTTCACACAGGCCGTGGTATGTTAGCTGAGTCGCTGTGCTGTTCAGAAACTGCTCTGCCACAAAACCTGGGAAAGAAAGAGCCAGTGTGAGATGTCTCTGAAATACACAATACAATACAGACAATACAATACATTTTTGAATGTAAAACCTTAAAGGGGTCCTATTATGCTCTTTTACAAAGTCTTTATTTTGTTTTGGGGGTGTACTAGAGTAGGCTCTCATACTAGGTTGTTTGAAAAACACATTATTTTTCACATATTTTACATTATTACAACACCTCTCTCCCCAGGCCCTAGCTCTCCTTGGTGCATAGCAATGTCCGATTTGTAAACAAGTCAAGTTTGTTCTTTGAGTTTGATCTTTTGATTCAGTTCACAAAACTGTTCTGAGTGATTAATTCACGATGACAGTCCACTGGAGGTGGTGATTATCAGTGAATAATGACTTGAATGTCAGTCTCTCTCACACAAAGCTATCATATGACTTCAGAAGACTTGGAACACTGTGTATGAGTCATATGGACTAATTTTATTATACATTTATGGCGTCTTTTTCGAGGTGTTAAAGTCTCAGCCCCCATTCACTGTAACTTTAAATTTCTCCAGATAGAAGAATGGAAGTCATACAGGTTTGGAACAACATAAGGGTGAATAAATGAAGAAAATATTTTTTTGGTGAATCCTTTAAACACACACTGTCTGAAACTTTATGACACACAAAAATCACACAGCCTGACAGAGACAAACTCACATACACTGGTACAGGGATAGAGTGTGAGTGGCTGCCAATCAGCCGAAGAGAGAGAAAAGACAAAGAAACAGACACAGAAAGGGTGCATTCTGATAGACGCTTACAGAAAGAGCAAAAAAAAAGATGACGAGGGAGATATATTTAGACAAATGCAGTAAGAGAGGGAGAGAACGTAGACGGCTAAAAACTGCGAAAAGGAGGAGGTTGCTTAAATGACTCTGACACACTCTGATAGTTGTTTATTTGAATGATGCAATAGGGAAAACATTATTCAGAACATGGATTCATATTCACAAAGCATTAATACATGTAAATGCACATAAGCCTGGCAAAGAGTGAACTCTAAACATTCTAAGAAAGTGAATTATGCTACAAATGAGCACTTGCCTTCTGGAAGAAGCAGTCTGCATGAATGTATGAAAGGAAAAGGAAAAGACAGACAAGAACAGTGAATACCCACCTTCCCCAGCCAGCTCGCTGTTGTCTGACTGCTTACAGCTGATTATCTTCTCTACCAACTGGTTATAGCTGCAGTTTCCCACTGCCTTGACTATAACAGCCATCTACAGACAGTGTGATAAAAATAAGAACGTCAATATGCTGGTCAAAATATTAGAATGAATGTTAACTTCCACATGGGTGATTTTTTTTAGAAGAGGTGCAATTTTAATGTGTAAATGTATGTATTAATTTGTATATTACTTAATCGATGTGACAGAGTTAACCCCAGCATGTTTTTAACTTGATACGGCATTGTGAAACCATGGCAATCATTGTGCAGTACTAAAAAATAATGACTGGCAAACTCAATTAAATTAAGTGTTGTGGACTGTAGCCCAGTGATGATGATACTAAGCAATTATTTCCAATTAATTTGATAAATTAGTATATATATATATATATATATATGTATAAATATTTATGAGTATGTATACTACAGGTGCATCTCAATAAATTAGAATGTTGTGGAAAAGTTCATTTATTTCAGTAATAAGCCGACAAATCTGCAGCAACTGCGTGATGCTATCATGTCAACATGGACCAAAATCTCTGAGGAATGTTTCCAACACCTTGTTGAATCTATGCCACGAAGAATTAAGGCAGTTTTGAAGGCAAAAGGGGGTCCAACCCGGTACTAGCAAGGTGTACCTAATAAAGTGGCCAGTGAATCTAATTAGACATTCTAATTTATTGAGATGCACCTGTATTAGTAGTAGTATTAAATTATTTTGATCTATTTCATTTTTTAAGTAATTTTTAAATGTAATTAATTTTTTTCTTTTTACTAAAGCCACTTACTGCACAGTGCATATCATGTATTTGTGAAACTCTGCATGTTACTACTGTAGAGTAAGATTTTGAAATTAAAGCACACAAATGACATCATGTGGTGACATCACATGTTTCAGTGGAATTTGCTTTTCTAGAAGGATGTGAACCAGGATGCTAACCTGTGGGTCAACCAGCCATCCATGGTAGAGTGGGATATCCAGCAGGTCAAAGACAATGCACTCGGGTGTGTATTCGAATACCCGCACACCTGTGAACTTAACATTTACATCCAGACCTGTCTGCAGTTTATGCAGCACAGCCATAGCATCACTCATATTCTAGAGAAAGAGAGAGCAAAGGTATACAAGAAAATAAGGGAACAGTAGCAAGTTTTCCAACACAACACATGCACACATTTCTGTAAAATGTGACACCCAATTGTCTTACTGCTCTGAGCAGGAAAAATCTCATAACTCTAGACCAGCGACTAAACAGCTCTAAACACCAGAGTTCTCCTCCTTTACTTCCTGTCTTTCAGTTTTGACCATAATGACCCTCCACTGACTCTCAAAAAAGCACAGCTGCAGGCTCACAAACTCCAGTGCAGTTAAACAGATAGAGTTTGAACATCATACACGTGTGTGTTCAGCATTTGATATTACATTCCAGAACCTATGATAATAATAATCTGTCCGGCTCTCACTTTTAAGTACTCACAGTATGACCATCTGTTAGTAGCTCACAAAATGAGTGTGTGTGTGGACAGTTGTTGAGATTAGAGCTTGTAACACGAATCAACCATGTAACAACAACATCCCTGGAAACCAGTGAGATTATCTTTGCCCTTTTGTAGGAGATTTCTCTCTCACTCTTTCTGCCTTGGCCATTTTCCGTTGGTACAGGGGATTTCCTAGCACTTTCACTTAATTCAATCCCAATCACTTGTATCTAGAATTATGGATTTAATTTGGATAAAATATAAAATGGTATTTAATTTGTATAAAAAGTATAAAATGGATAGTTCTAGTTCTGGAATCTGATTGGTCAATACAGTGTTCAGTGTTACTTTAGTATTGTTTATTTATATACTATTATAGTCATTAATAGTATTTTGAATTAGCTTTTTATATATTCAGTTTTCATTTAATTTGAAGCTTTAATAATTTTATGTGCCATTGTACTTATTTATGAGTTTCTTTTCTATTTAGCTATTTCAGTTTTAGTTTTAGTCATTTTATTATTTCAACTTAATTTTTTTATTTAGTTAGTTGCCAGAGCAAAATTTCAAATTTGAATTTTTCAAGTTTTTTTAAGGGCATCCAATATTTATATTTTATTTAATTTCAGCTTGAAGTTAATGAAAACCATTTTAATAGTTTTAGTTAACAATAACACTGACAGAGTTCCAGCCAATTTTTTAAAAAAAGCAATAAGGCAGTTAAGGCCATCCTTAATTGTGAATTAAGAACAGCCTCTTCTGTTACTTTATTCATGATATAAGACAGACTCTCATGCCATATATAACTTAAATGCTCAAGTTTTTGGATGACTTTTATTGCCATCATGCTTTAATCCTCTCAGATATATGGTATAAAACATTAACAGAACAAATCAAGAGAACAAATTTAGTTTTGACTTCAAATTTCAGGTAGTCACTTCCATTCTAGACAGCTGTCAATCTTTGTCATACCCAAACTGTATTTAGCACTCGAAACAAGACAACCGTATTCTGAGACTGAGTGAGCACAGCCTTCATCTCACCTTAACTCTGATCAGAATAACACAGGTCATCATCCCGCAGCTCGATACCATGTTTCCAAAACAACACCAGACACCTTCAGAAAACTGCTGAGTCACGAGTCCCTGCTCTCCTGGAACACAGGCCTGGATGAATCAGTGTGGCACAGGCTGACCCGATGGCCAGTGGGTGGATGAGAGCATGCAGAACTGGCACCAGGGTCGGGTGAGCGTTAGAGGTTTCTCAGATCAACTAAGACCCATCCACCAACAGCTCCCATTCAGTCCTGTTGAGCCTGGCACCGGTTCCAACCCCCACCCACGCCTTGCCTGTGTGTGGCCTGGCTCTGTCCCTGTGCCCCTGCCAGCGTTTCTGAACCACTCCACTGCCCTGACCCACTTTCTCCAGCTCTATTATACTCGCTCCAGTACAGTGATACTCACTGAGATGCCTATAAAAGCTTTAATACAATCAAAACATCTATTAGACTGGAAAACATCTGATAAACAGTCAAACCTGAGCAGGGGCGGATCTAGAAAATAATTTTTAGGGTGGCAAAGGGGGGGCATGGGGTCTATGAAGGGTGGCAACACCAAAGCAAGCCCCCATGCATAGTTTTTGGGGATTTATGGTCTGACATACACAGTTGTGTTCACAAATATTGTATTACCAGTAAGTAATCATCTACTGTTTAAAATTAAAAATAAATAGCAACATTTCAATATCCATCATTGCACCAAGTCAATACACAATATAAAAAACTTCAACAGGTTATAAATGTTTCTGAGCTTGTATCACTAAAGAAGACATGCGGTTCTATTAAAATTACATAGGCTACTTAGATGGTATAATCACGTTTAGTGCAAGTTTAAGAGCAACAAAAAATTTTGAATTTCCTAACATTAGAAAGAAATACAATAATATCAAAGCACTGAAACTGGATCAGTTTTGAAAACAATGTTTGATTTTCTGTTATTAACAGAGGTGGGAATGTCTGTAATCACCCAGAACAAACTCTATCAACCATATACTCTAGCAACACCCCAGCAACTGGATAGCAAGAGCCTAGCAACCACCCAGAATAGCAGTAATTATCTGATTCACGAACAAATGTAAAAACAATTCGTTAGTGAACTGGGCTGCGCTTTGTGGTTTTGACTAAAAAAGAACCGGTTCATAGGAGTCATTTGTTAATGAAGCCGACTACACTGGCACGCTGTGTGCTCGTGCAACCATCGTGCACATGCACATCATTATTAAAGGGGTCATATGATGCGATTTCAATTTTTCCTTTCTCTTTGGAGTGTTGGTGGCACAGCTTTTTCTTTGGGTGGCAGTTGCCACCCCGTGCCACCCCGGTAGATCCGCCCCTGAACCTGAGTGATGTTATTGTGCACTGTTTGCAGAGGCTAAACACTAAGATCAACACACAGAGAGCAGACAGACCCCATGAAGTTCTTCCGGACCTTTGTTTGTGTGTGTGTGTGTGTGTGTGTGTGTGTGTGTGTGTGTGTGTGTGTGTGTGTGTGCGCACGCGCCTCAGACAGACCCCATGAAGTTCTTCCGGACCTTTGTTTGTGTGTGTGTGTGTGTGTGTGTGTGTGCACGCACGCCTCTCTCTCACTCTCTCCTAGTGCCAAAAAATCGCTTCACTAACAGTCACAGAGCCTGGCCGAAGACAGTCAGCTGACCTACAGTGTAGAGAAACAGCATTATTCAAGCATGAATGAAGCTCAGCCAAACCTGAAACAGTCTTGGCAATAAAAAAAAACTCAAAGATAAGTTACATTATAAAAACCAAAACACAAGAACAAAGCAAAATCTCATACACAAGAGAAGGTATAGAGCAAGAAAGAAGTATGAATCCAGTCAGCCTCCACCTATGAGGGGCCGTATAGGCCATAATTATTGAAAAGCCTCTTACAAACACTAGTGAAACGAAAAACATTGATAAAGCTTAGTGAAATTCATTCATACGCATTACTGAAAACCTCTTACATACACTAGTGAAAACACTTATCAACCTTAGTGAAATACATTCATATGCATAACTGAAAAACCTCTTACAAACACTAGTGAAAACA